CCATTCAATTTTGATATATCTGATGGAGAATAAATTTACATTATAATTGTTATCATTATGATCTCTGTTATTTAATGAATTTAATTTGAAAAAGAAAAATTGGGAAAGAAAATCAATGTCAAGGTATCACTTGATTCCTTATCTTATATGAGATTGAAAATGTGCTAGAAAGATATATCCCTCGAACTAAAAATCGTAGGGGCTGAATGATTTTTTTCCAAACGCCGTTTTGTTTTCATGTTTCATATCTATAGTTTATAGGTGACGAGTTGTGATTTCTAAATTTGGTTTTACCAGCTTTTCAACCTGTTTTCTTTTTTCAGTGTCACGTAGGACTTTGGTACTTATCGAACAACTTCCAATTTTACGTGATTTCTCTGATGATATACTACTTTATGTTCAAATTCAAGATTGGACAGAAGATGATCATCTTTGTCATGACATTCTTCTGGTCGATAACGTTTTGCTTGATATATTTCCACAACATAACAGATCCCAACCCCCATTTCACACGGTGAGTATTTTTTAATATAAATTAACAAGAACAGTTTTTTCTGTGTCATTTTCTTTATGGTAACATAAACATTCAGGGATATCAAAAGAAAAATTGTACTTGGTTAGAATATATGTATTAGAAAAAACTATCATTTCTCAAAACTACACACATTCCCTGTGAAAAATATTCATAATTCCTCTTTCAAATTCTCTTATTTGAACTCTCCTCTTTTCTTTTAAACTATACGAAATTCTGGGGATTGAATCTATGTCCATGATAATATTCAATCCTACCTAATAGGAATATATCATTTATTTCATCAAAAACAAACTAATAATGTCGCAGAAAAAATAATTTCAATTAATTCTCGAAGTGACTGAACCAAACTATCAAACCAAGAACCAAAATTATTTAAACTGTTCAAACAATATTTGTTTTATTATGCTATCAAACTATCACTTCATTTCTACAAGTATTTTGTATACTAAAATTAATATACGTAGAATTTTCTCGAAAAAAAAACAAACAAAAACAAGATAAACTAGGACATCATCAGAATAAAGTATCTAAAAGTTAAGTGTTATCTTGACGTGTTAAACACATGTATTTTGTATATTCTCAAATATTGATGTAGTACTGAGAAATTAAAAAAAAATCTTTCTCTGAACTCTTTTTTTCTCTAAATTTGAAAATATGAAGTCTACAATTTGATTTACATTTAATTTCGAATTTAAATAACATCCCACATGAATTGCCTAAAAGCAGGATTTTTAATTTAGGACAATTGATAATTATATTACCTACATAATGATACTGATAAACATGTATAAAAATGAAATAGTAACGAAAAGATACAGATCATCCATATAATATCCGAATACGAAATTATAGTGTCTTATAACAAAATATATGTGATAGAATCGGCTGATACTTAATGAAAATTCACAAAATTCACGCCTGAAGAATCTATTCTATAGCGAAACACATGTTTCCTTCTTGTGGAAATGATTAGTGAAAATCTCCCAATATAGTGTTTCTGGAATTCATTACAAAATGTATGAAACTGATTGGTCAGAGACACAGTAGCTTTTTGGTCCAAAAATCTGGAACTTTCAACCAAAATAACATAAGAAATATGGATAATAATGTATTCAAACGACAAATGGAAGAAAAGATTGGAATGAACACAAATAAATGGCATATTATTATGATGAATCAATGTTAAACATCTTCTCCGACCCTTTATCCTGTCAGTATTACTCATTTTCCAGACTTAAACAAACATACCCATTTTTTTTTTACTTTTCCACCCAGGCTCTCTGTCCTACCACTTGGCGAAGCATCTGGTCTCGCTCCTCCAGCCTCATGTCGGAAAAACAAACTCCTACGTCAAGAATTTGACAGACTTCGTTGGAAAAATTATGGAGCCGACAGATTTTCTGGTCAACTTCGATGTTGTATCCTTGTTTACCAATGTCCCACTAGGAGACTCTCTGAAGGGGGCAAGCCTACTTGTTTCCGAGTGATATCATCGGACTCTTCAGAGCAAGTCTCACGGGGAGGTTCTGTAAATGGAGGGGTAACTTCTATGGCAAACTAGATGGCGTGGCGATGGAAAGTTCACTTAGTTCAGTGATAGCCAACTAATTTTGAAGAGACGGCAATTGGCACCTCTGAATTAAAACCGACATTGTGGTTACGTTACGTGGATAATACCTTCGTCATCTGAAAACATGGAATGGATGCTTCAAACCTTTTCCTAGACCACTTGAACGCTCAACACCCCAGCATCAAGTTCACCATCGAGACTGAACAAGACCAGCGGATATCATTTTTAGGTGCACTCATCGAACGATGAGTATCGAAAACACACGCACAAGGATAGATACCTGTACGCACCATCACCACCATCCCAGTCGGAAGCAAAGAATCATATCTACTCCAACTGAACGGTCTCGAAGGATATGTGAACCAGAGCATCTCGAGAAAGAACTGGAACGTCTTCAAGTGACCTTGAGATGAATGATTTTTTTTTGTCCTTTGGGAGCTGACTGAATTGTCCATTTAGTACAACTCTCCAGAAAACACTGCAGCCTCTTGGGCTTATTGCGTTTATTCTCCCATCTTCTCATGACACTCATTCCATCAGTCTTGTTCCCTGTACTAGTTTGTACAGGTTCCTTGTTAGATGTTTGTCATATTCTTCTGGACGTAATTTCGTACGTCCATATATTGTCTGTCTCCTGTGATTCAGTTCCTCACATTCGCATAAGATATGTAGAGCTGTTTCTATCCCTTCGTTGCATAATCTGCAGCTTAGGTCTCCGTTGTACAGCCCCATTTCATTCAGGTATCCTCTGAGCAGGCAATGACCGGTTAGTAACCCTGTCATTATTCTGAGCCGATCCCTACTATATTGAAGTAGTTCTTCGGTTCTTTTCTCGGACAGTTCCCTAATGAAGGTTCTACTGTGTTTGTTGCCAGGTACTTTTGTCCACTACTCTGTGTGCTTCTTATTGGTCCTTGTTCTAATCAGCTTTATCCTTACCTGTGATTCCTGAATGCTCTGGCACCCAGTACAAAGTTAATTTGTTCCCGTTTGCAAGTTTATTCAGTTCTGATGTCATCTTCGGGTTTTTCAGAGCCCCTAGTGCACTCGTGCTGTCTCTTAAAATATTGATCCGCTCATTTCTTTGAGGTCTCAATTTAATAAGCCTTGCACACTGCAAGATAGCCTACACTTCCGCCTGAAAGATGGATGTGTATAGTCTCGCTCGGTATATTCCAGCTCCCGTTCCATGTTTGGTCTTCGATCCATTTGTATTCCAGGTGTTTTTTCCAAACATGTTTTCGGGATGACTAACGGTCTTCCACTCTCCACAGCTTATGATTTTGGCCGTGAAGTTTATGTTAAAGGTATACTTCGGTGTCATGTGGTCCGTGCACATATTCAATATGTGCTCCTCCACATGTTCCAATATTTTGTAGTTCGCTGAGTTTTCCAGTCTGAATTGGACCATCCTGGCCTCCTCCCCCAGATAGAATGGATACAGTGTACGCGAGGTCAACAAGGCCATGGAACTGAAGTGTTCCACGGGTCAAAATGGGGAGGAGGCTCAGATAGTTGCACGTGCATATCTACCGTATATCCCTAGGGTCACAGACCGAATTGGAATAATCTTGGAGAAACACAACATTGAAACGTTTTTCAAACCTATCAAGAATATACAACAGAGTCTTTGGTCAGCTAAAGTCAAGCTAGACCCACTATCAGCAGCAGGTGTATATCGCATACCGTGAACTTGTGGGACGGTATACATCGGAACCACCGAAAGACCCATGGAAACAAGGCTAACGAAGTATTAAAGAAACTGCAGGCTAGGTCAAACGGACACGTCAACTGAGGCGAAGCATGCGCGTAGTGGAGGAAACCTCAGGATTCTGTTTGAAAACACAAAACTCATCTCCCACAACCACGTATACTATAGCTGACTGGTACGGGAGGCAAAAGAGATTCACAAACATACGGATAATTCCAACGGAAAAAAGCTGTGAACCTCAACTAAATATGAATTCCCATTCGAAGAAGTTCAAGAATAGCAAACAGCATGACGGCAGTTAGAAAAAAGTCGACGAATGTTATTGACAATTTACCTGATCCATGTACGTATGAGGACCTCGTGTGAGCACACCAAACTACCTGAGTCAACACGAATATGCTTCACGCAGTCATAAAATCCAGTCATCGGAGATACCTCAGGATGTATAAACTCCTGGAGAAGCTAGCCACCTGCGTTAGCGAAACGTCAGGAAAAAATTCCAGAAATCGACGGCCTCCAAACTCCAGAAATGATGACACTGAAAACCTCGGCTACAAAATCTTCATCCATTTTGTCATGCCACTGTTCATTATTTTGTATTTATACAGTGCATTCCTTTAATTTGCCCTCCCTTTTATTTTTTGAACAGGTCAACTCAAAAAATTGAAATTCGGGATAAGGAAATTGACGCATGAATACTTCATTTTGAAGTGGAATTGACAGATGAAACCTTCAAGATGGCGACTGGGCGCCATCTGGTAAAAAAGATTAAATGGAAAGGGGGGTCTTGTGACACATCGTTTTGAAGCTCCTGACGAATACTCCACAACTACATATGAATATGAAGTCAATATCTTCACCCGCTACAGAATGGAGTAAAATTTAATAATTTCCTGAAGACAAACACATTAATATCGATATTTCTGGAAATATTCCTTTTTATCTGCCGTATGGCAATTCCATGTTGATTTATTTTTTATTTATAAAAACGTCAAAAATTTCAGTACGACAATAATGAACATCATTGTTCAGTTAGACTATTCTCATTTAGTTTTCAGTTTTAGTAGTGGAAAGGTACCACGTCAACAATCTTCAAAATGGTCGATTTTTGTCCATTGGAAAAAAATTGTAGCGATTTTTATTAACGATGCGACGCGTAACTTTGACGAGACCGAAAGGATTTTCAATGAACGTTTTCCGAATCGTCCTATCTGTAGAAAATATTCGAGGGATCTTGTATCCAAATTCACAACTACCGGTAGGGTACATAACAAAAAGCCCCTAGGTCATTCGTCCATTCCGTAAGAACAGCAAGTGCAAATAATTAGTAAGATGGTAGTAAAACCTGAAGAGTCCACTTATTCCGTCGCGAATGTTTGTAAGGTGTATGTCTCCTACTACTGTGTGGAGATTTTTGAACAGGTATAGGTATCATCCATACAAAATTAAAATGTACCCCAATTAACTGAAGGTGACCCTAATCAAAGAACGGAATTCTGCGAAATCATGACGGAAACCATTGCGAGGCATCCTACCTATCACCAAAATATTTTTTGTTTTAGTGATGAATGTAAATTTTTTTTAAACGGCAATGTTCACAGACAAAATTGCCGTTATTGGAGTGACACCAACCCTCACTTTTTCCGGGAAACACATACTCAATATACAGAAAAAATTAACGTTTGGGCAGGAATATTGAGAAACCATATTCTAGGATACCTATTTATTGATCAAAATTTAAAAGGGGAACTGTATTTCAATATACTGGAAAATACTGTTGACCCTCTCATCACTGAAATTGTCGAAGCTAATCTTAATAAATTCGATATGGATATTGTATTCCAACAAGATGGAGCATCACCACATTACTCCAGACAAGTAAAAAACTATTTGGATACTACTCTTCCCGATCGTTGGATTGGCCGTCGAGGTCCTACAGAATGGCCCGCTCACCAGATTTGACACCTTTGGACTCTTCTTATGGGGATATTTGAATCAAAAGGTGTACGAAACTGAACCTGCTTCCATATTGGATATACGGCAGAGAATAATAAATATTTGTAGAGATATTGACGTTACTGTGTTCGAAAATGTTCGGCGTGAAATGTCGGATAAGCTGTTCATATATCAAGAAGTTTAAGGCATCCATTTCGAACATCTTTTGAACTGACCTCAAGCTTATTAACTCATAGTATGTAGTTAAATGTCAATGTATTCAGGAAATTATTAAACAATAAACATTATTATTATAATTATACGCTGGCGCCAGTCGGGATCATCTTGAGAAAAACTCAACCACAAATATAATTTATTCAAGAAAACTATCGTATGCGAAATACGTGTCGCGATTTTCTATCAAGTGGATTTCTCACATTTTCTTCAAGTATCGGTCAGTTCTATCGTATTCAACTATGATCATTCATCAATAATGATACAATCGACTCTTCAAATAAAATTGTAGAATTTAAATCAATACCTAGAATATGATTCTTTCCAACATTTCTAATAATGTTTCCAATCAAATCGTATTGAACTCCGTATTTGGATATTATTTAAAAAGGAAATTAAATGAACAAAGACTAAGTATCTCACTGTAATAATTATTTACTTATTTTCCAGTGATAATTCATTAGAAATCATGATGTCTTCCTACCAGTTGTATATTTTGTACACATGCATGTACATAAACTATGGCAGTTTTGGAGTTGGTCTGTTATTTGGATACTGGTTTCATCGCTACAAAAATCAAACGTTTCATTGCAATAAGGTTAGTTTAAAATATATTTTTTTAAGGAACGAGGGTTGCCTTTTATATTTCGGGATTAGAGAACAAAAACAAATATTAATCATCGATAATAACTTTATTGTTTTTCAAAATATTTCCCATGAAGATCTATACACTTTTGCATGCGTTTGGACCAATTGTCGAAGCACTTTTACCACTCTGATTGAGGTATCTCTATAACATGTATTCTGAATGCAGCAACTGCTTCTTCAGGTGTCGAAAAACGTTGACCTCTCAGTTTGTTTTTTACGTGCGGGAATGAAAAGAAGAAGAAGAAGGACTGCACGGCGGATGACTAAGCAAATCTATGTTTTGTACTCAAAAATGCAGTTGTTTGAGCCGATGTGTGAGAGCTCGCATTGTCGTGGTGAAGAGTGATCCGTCTTTGGCGGTTGGTTTTCCTGATTTCTTGAAAGGCAACTGGCAAACAAATGGTTATGTGCCACTCAGAATGGACTGTTCTACATTATTCTAGTGGTACGGTTTCGGCATGTTCAGTTTTTCCGAAAAAACAAGCGACCATTTGTTTGGAAGTGCTTCGTGGACGAACAACTTTTGTGGATTTGGCTCTTCTTGAAACTCCCATACAGTCGACTGCTGTTTACTTTCGGGCTCAAACGCGTAAATCCACGATTCATCACCTGTCACGATGTCATAGACGTGTTTTGAAGCACCGCGCTCGTATTTTTTGAGCATTTTATTCGACCAATCGACACGAGCCTTTTTTTGAGCTATTGTCAAATGTTCATGCAATATTGAATGTATGCTGATCTCACTGATGCCTAAGGTTGTCTCAATCTCACGATAGGTCACATGACGATCTTGCAATATCAGTTCGCGCACAGCATCAACGGATTTCGGAACAACAACTGATTTTGGACTACCTTCAAGAAATTCGTCACTGGTCCTTGATGGAGCTTCATTGCCAAAAATTGAATTGAGTTCATCCTTGCACTGTTGCTAAGTCAATCCACGTCGAAAGTTGTGAAAAATAATCGCACAAAAATGTTCACGATTTAATTACATTTTTGGGCTGACATGAATATTTTAAGCTACTGTAAACAACACAAATAGCGCGCGTATGTTAAAATGTTCTGAGTACGTATAAGCTCAAAAATGTCCAACTTCACGATAGAACTGTCAGTTGTGAGATTGCAACACTAGGGTTGCCAAATCCCGAAACATATGAGGCAACCTATCGTACAAAGTCAACCAGCAATCAAATGTTGCTCAAAAATACACATGACTTGACAATAACGAGAAGAGTACTGTATTTGTCATAGGTTCATCTATCAATTGCGAAATCCATCATATACACCACTTCCAAATATGTTGTCATTACTTTTTTTGTGATCGTCGGCATTTAGGTTACAAAGACAACAATTGAAATTTTGCCGTGTCTTTCTCCGTCAGGGCGATGGTGATACCCTGCGAAATTTATCAAAAACGTGGCCGTTGAAATTAAGGGTCTTTCATTAAACGCTTTATATCTTCAAATCCGAATAAAACAAAGTATGTGTGAGATATCAACAACATTTTATATTCATTTGAAAGGCCTACTGATGGGTGGAGTACATCCGAAACGTCCAATGTTCTATTACTCTGCCACATAAATCAGACTGAATTTGACCTATATCATGAGTTACGTTGTCTTTGAGGACCCCCGTGGTTTGTGGATTATTCGCACTACACCTGCAACTTAAGGACAGTCCACCAAAAAAGTCTAACGGGGCCAAATCGCGTGATCTCGGTGGTCAGTCCACATCACCTCCACGTGCCCTCAAATCTCTCGTGCAGAATATCCAATGTGGCATGAGTTGTATGGCATGTAGCCCCGTCTTTTTGAAACCCTTGTCTTTGGTGTCCAAGTCATTCAATTCAGGCCAAAAGAAGTTGGTAATCATCGACATCTAGTGTTCGCCATTGTCAGTGATAGCCTGGCCAACGTCGATCTCAATGAAATTTGGACCGATGACGCCGCCAGCCCAAAATCCACACCAAAAAGTAAGTTTTTCGGGATACATTGGACGCTCTTGGATTTCATGTGGATTGGTATCATCCCAATTTCGACAATTTTGTTTGTTCGCGTACCTATTGAACTGCTCTAACTGCTTAAGAGTCCTAGAGCAGCTCCGTCACGCTGAAACCAGCTTTGAAAAAAATCTACCTTTTTTTAGCCTACTTTACCCACAAACGATTCTAATAAATGTAGTAATGTTCATTTTTTTGTAGTCTCATCGGCTACTGAGAACGCACTATTGATATACAAGTAATAATGTGCTAAAAGGTTTTGAAATAGGTTCTGAATTGATTGTATTTTATTGTAGTAACAACAAAATATATTCCAAATTCTGGTTATTTCAACACCCCAACACGTGTTTCGATCACCAAGTGATCATCTTCAAGTGTAAGATCAAACTGTTTCATCTTCCTCTTGAAGATGATCACTTGGTGATCGAATAATTTCGCTTTATCTAAAGATTTTTTATTGATACTGTTTGAATTTCAGGTAATGTCGATTTTGTGGTTACTGATGTTCTTTGGTCTACCATCGATTGCTATTTATAGTACCCTTTTTGAGTACTCTAGATTAGCCACCGCAATATTGTTACCCACCGCAAGGACGTTATTTTCACTAGGAATTGCGATAGGAATTTTTGGCATGATTAAGGGAATGGGGGGTGAGTACTATCTATTGATGGAAAATGTCTATGGACTTTAGATGGAAACCAACGAAAAACAATTAATAATAATAATTGCTTTTATTGACAAAATGCAGTACAATATATAGTAAATATAAAAAAACAGGCAGTTCTTGAATGATATCCTACATTTTTGTCAAAACGCAGAATTCAGGTTCTGATCTTGTTATTTGAGTAACGCAATCAGAACTTGCTCTTCCATTCAACCGTATTCATAACAATACTTACAAATGAATTGTAATCATTAACCACTTATGCTATCACCTATCCTTATTTCGTTCAATGAACGACAATGAAAAAACAATAAAAAAATAGAAAAATGTTAACTAATAATTCGCCTACAAAACGATAATGAAAACTAGTAAAGACACATAAAAATGTTGGCTAGTTATTTTACTTAGAAACAGATATTTGCATGTACACACATCGGAAAAGTCTAGGAATATTTTTATAACATACTAAATATCATAAAAATAAATGCATGAGGTCGTTTAATTTCGATTAAATTGGTACACTCGACCACCCTGTAGATTTCTATGGGTTGAACAAAGCCTGCAAAAACGGTAACTAATCTTTTATCAAGTTTTTTACAAACTGNAAGTGGATCATTATTTACAGCTAGACAATAAATTTGGTAGAAGAAATTCATTTCTTTCATTCATTCATTCATAAAATATCTTCATTTCCAAACTGTATGTTCCTAAATGTATCTATGTTTTGTTATAAAGAATACATATACACTGAAAAAAATATACTGACCACACAGTTGACATAAAAAATATTCCTCTATATCTCGAGTAATTATTTCAGATACCAAATATCGCAATACTATGTAATCCAGCAATTTGAAAATTTCAAATGTTAAAACTGAATACATGTTTCTTATTAATCAGTGGGCTACTATTGAAGACTGGCAGCAAACAAATCTAAAGAAATGAACTTCAAACGTTCAAGCTAGTCTCGAATATACCTACACAGTAGGTTGAATGAACTGACGCCAATCAGAAAACAAATACTTCCCTGGCCAGGGGAGATAGTCTATAATGACTATAAATAGTCATCTCTCGAAGGAATAGTTCAGATTCTTTCACAGAGAACGTGATGGACATGCTGGAGGGCAAGTTGGTATCTTTGTCAAACGATCCCTTCAATGTGTCCAATACGGCATTGACAGCGCTCGATTACACGGAACTGACGCCGTGGGGACTGAGCAAGGGTTGTCACAGAATAATCTCGATTTACAACCCTCCGAACAATCAATTACTTCCAGAATTACTGGATGAACTGCTGATGGAAAGCAAAATTCCGGCAAATGCTGCTGGTGACTTTAACGCCAAGTACAGACTATGGAGCAGATCCACGAATCGAAACAGCCAAGCGCTCTATGCGCATACCGACAAGCATGAATATTTCGTGCTGAGACTGGGTCAACCTACGTACTATTGCGGGCAGACTAGGCCTAACGTATTAGACATCCCGCTTCTCAGAAACGTCTCTCTGACCAGCGAAATTTACGTTCTGTCGGAAATGGATAATCCAGTAATCCTGGTAATCCAGTAATCCTTCCTTTTCCTGATCATCACATTAGGATATCTTCACAATCCAGCTCGTGAGGATTATCCGCTGAAGACCTACAATGAGTTTCTCCCTCGTATCAAGACCTTGATACGGGAGAAAAATCGCCTGAGAAGGCTCTATCAGCGAACCCTATTTCCAGGAGATGAAATTGCGACAAGCAGGATAGCCAACCAAGTTAAACAGGCCATCATTGATCACCGAAACGAAAAGTGGGAGAAGCTCTTGGAATCCCAAGAGCCTGGGGAGGACAAGCTTTGGCGAGTCACCCGCAGACTCAGAAGGAAGACGATCGTTCCCTGACCAATTCACGGAGAGCGCGGAGTGTGCTACTCCCCCGCCGACAAAGCAATAGCCTTTGCCGACATGATGGAACGTCAGTTTCAGCTCAACGTTGACGACAATGACAAAATCGACCGCGATATTCTGTCAGAAGATCGGGTTCACCGTATCCTCAGGGAAGATGACGACGGTAAGATCCGCCCAGCTTCTGTGGAAGAGCTGAAGGGTTACATCAGGACCGCAAAGACCAAGAAAGCTCTAGGGGTCGATTCAATAACCAATAAGTTGTTGAAGAGGCTTCCGTCGAAAACCTACTGCATATTATAAACAGTTCGTTGGCCCTCAGATACTTCCCCGGAAGGTTAAACCAAGCGATTGTTGTTATGATCCCAAAACAGGGTCAGAACCAGCTTTTCCCACATAACTATCGCCGATTAGTCTGCTCTCGTCGGCGGCTGAGCTGGCTGAAAGAGTCGTTCTGCGAAGACTCAATGAAGAAGCAGAGGACCGAAATGTTCTGCCTGATGGACAGTTTGGCTTTAGAAGAGAACACTCCACTGAGTTACAGGCTCTGAGACTGGTCGAAAACACCATGGCGGAACTGAACCAAAACAAAAAAGTCCATGTCGTTTTACTAGACATCTCGAAGACCTTCGACCATGTATGGCACGAAGGCCTTCTGCATAAACTAATCGCGTTTGACCTGCCTAGAGGCCTGATCCGGTGGATTAGGCCTTTCCTGAAAGACAGAACATTTCAGGTTAGAGTAGAGGACTCTGTGTCTGACAACAGAGAGATCCTTGCTGGAGTGCCGCAGGGTGCCGTGCTCTCCGCTACGCTGTACTCACTTTACACCAGTGACCTTCCGAGGTCCGAGCATGTGAAGAAATCTCTGTACGCCGATGACACGGCTTTCCTCTCGTCTTCCATAGTTCGGGAGCTCGGTGTCGTACACATGCAACGTGCATTGGACGACCTCGAGCGCTGGTACCTCGAATGGAAGATCCGAGTGAACCCGGACAAGACCCAGGCGATAACCATGGGAAGACTGATATCCTCTCCGGCCGGAAAAGTGAGGATCTCTGGAAGGGAGATCGACTAGCAAGCGCGGGTAAAGTATATTGGCCTTCTAATAGACCGTAGGCTCACCTGGAACCCGCACATCCCAACCGTGAAGGCAAAGATCGAGGGTCGGATCAAAAGTCTGTGCCCTCTGATCAACAGACGTTCTAAATTAAGACTGAAGAAAAAAATAACGATCTATAAAACGATGCTCAAGCTTGTCATCATGTACGCTTCAGGCGTCTGGGGACAAGCGGCTCCGTCTAATATCTCCATTTTGGAGAGATTGCAAAATAAGTTAATACGGATGATAGTGAATGCT